ATACATTCAAATACATAGTGTTAATTGGACTTAAATAAAGGGCAAGGAAAACTCAGTGATAAATTAAAAAATGGAATGAGAATGACATGCCACTTTCTACTTTTGTTCCCATGCTGCTTGTAACAAAAAAATCATGTAACTGAAATATTCTCTAGCTGAAAATATTTTTAAATCAAATAACAGTAATATGAAACAAGGAAAAGGAGTCCTCAACCACAAAATGATATAACTAAAAGTTAATAATTTTGATGTAAAAGTAATTCTAAAATGCCTACTATGGTTTTTGTAGAAAACAGATTTTGAATAAGATTTTTGCACCACTTGCAGTACTGATTTAGTTTCCATACTATGAAAGTACGGAAACTATAAAGCATTTAGTACAAAAAAGACACTTACATACAAATGTTTTATCATAGAAGTAAAGAACATTTTGGTTTCTTTTTCAGAGAATCAAACAAAACATTTGCAAACCATACTCCCACAAACCTGAAAGTCATTACTATTTTTGACAAAGTCTTTGGCAGAGCACCACAATAAATGGTGCAATTCTGATATTTCATCTAGAAATGGTCCTTTGAATTCAGTCCTTCAAACCACAAAGACACATGGCAATAATAGAAGATTCTGGACTGCTGTTTTAAAACCAATGCTGGCTAGTGGTTTTGGCTAACTTACTTTACCTAGTTTACATACATCTGAGAATCATAAATTACATATGTGTAGGGAGGCTATTTGAACTACAGTGCAATTTATTTATAAATAAGTAGTCAAGTAAATAAATACACATGACAATTATTAAAACATACGCTGAGATACAGAGTAACCTGTACCTTACCCTGTGAGGCGGCACTTTCAATCCAAAATATGACTGAGACGCTTAACTAATGAAAACACAGGAGAAACGGCATTGCCACAATATAGGTGAGCCCATCTAAAGGATAAACGCTCCACTTTCATGCACAAGTCACAAAGACCTACATTTCAATGAGGTCATGTGACTAGACACTGAACGGGGTATGAGCAGAATGGAAGCAATGCAGTGTGGAGGTGACAAACCTAACGGCACAGACACGCGCTCTTCGTTTCACTGCCGATAAGGTGAGCAGAACACTGAGTCTACAGAGGCTTTTCTTACATCATGAGATGAAAAGAAACCTACCTGATCAAGGCGAGAGAGCACCCAACATCATAAAGCCATTACACGGATCCGGCACTGACTTAGTGGATTTTTGATTCAGAGGAAAACAAACTCACATGCTAACTAAGCAGCCTGAATTATCTCCTAATCCTTATTTCATGAGAAGGATGTAAACACACACACGGAGCGACCCAGTTGACCCTAACTCCTCTACCATAAGGACACGGGTGGCTTCCTGGCCTTGCTGTGCCGTCCTGGCCAACGGCACAGTGTAGTGCCAGCCTCCAGGGTCTGTTCCTTCTTAACCAGGTGCACTGTCACGCATGGAGTAGCTAAGTCACTATCCTCCCTGCAACTCTGCAATTCGTATCGACGCTGCAGCACATACTTTCTCATACTAATAACGCATCTTAGCAATACATTCTTTCTGTTCTATAAAAGCTTTATTATTTTTTTTCTAAGGCAGGCTGACTGAGATCTTCCATCTGCTTTTTCACTTCCCAAATGACTCAAGGCAACGGCTGGGCCAAAGTCAGGAGCCAGGATCCTGAACCCAAACCAGGTCACTCCACATTTATTTTACTGGGGAAATAAGAGAAAATGAAAAGGACTACATGATTCATAAAAAGGCAGTCAGAACATAGATGAAATCTTGGGCAAAACGAATCACACCAAAGTGCAAATTTATTCCTACCCCAAAATCAGAATAAACATCAATGAACAGGTACATATTTGAAATATTTTCTTGAACTGGAAATTGACAATTCTTTCACTCAAACAGAAGAAAATCCTAAAAAAAAAAAAAAAACCCAAGCTTTTAAATTAAAAAAATCAGTAGTTATTTTCCTTTTTCACAAAAAAAAAATGGGAAAAAGAAAATTTCATATAAATGGAAATTCAAACAATTCTTATTTGATGCAGATGTTTAAAATGTTCATATTGGGCGGTGATATTCAGCATATAAAACTTGTTGAATTAACGCCCAAACACCCTGAATCTCAGAGGAGACAGTCTGATCACGAGTGGGCTTGGAATCCACGGAGCATATTCTTTGCCAGGAGAGAGTAACTTCACGTCAAGAAACTACAGAACTCAGCACTTTCTGAGCGGAGATCTGAGTTCACTCCTCTTTCTGCTAAGGTTGGGAGATGATTTTGGCAATCATCAGCTGTCTGGGTCATCAAGGAAAATACTGCAACCCCCTGGCCAGTTTTTAGCCTTCGAAAGCACCCTGCAACGTTTCCAATTGTCTGCAGAATCCTTGCCAGCACATGAATTACAAGATACGGTCACTCTGAAATTAGTGTGCACAGCACATCCTGAACACGACAAGATTCCCACGGCAGTTTGGCCAGAAAGTTTGTGATTTTTGTGTCCATGAGGCTAACTGTAGCACTGAAAGGTTTACTTCATTTAAATAACCCTAAACTTTCTCTCCAGCAAGCTGTGCCAGGAATAAACTCCTCCTTGTCAAACTGCTCTGAGAACAGCCTTTCTTTTCTCTTAACTGAATAAATGAATAAATAAATATGGAGCCAGCTACCTAAACTTCAGTCTGTGGCCTTGAGACATTCTTGGAACGAAGGCATTCTGTAGGACTGGGACATCTTTATGCTGTTTTCATTTCTTGAGAAAACCTGTTGAAAAGGTAGCATTTGAAGGGCTTGTGTCTGATGAAGTTGGTTAGTTTCAATGTGTTAAGAAGTCTTTCAGGATTCCCATCTGACTTGGATAACAATACATGGAGAGCAAATGATAAGAGATCAGTCACCACGACTTAAAATTTTTCCTCCACACAAGTAGCAAACTAGATATACTACCGCCAACCATGGCAAGGCAGCCAGCCAGAACATCGATATGCCCAAAGATCACATTCACCAAGCTAGACTACATCAGCTGGGGGGATAGGGAAAAGTTGGTTAACAGATCCAACGAGAAGAAAAGAACTGCACTGTATTGCACAGTAGGGTGAGTATTGATAATGATAATGCAGTAGGTATTAAAAAAGAACAAACTAGATAACATGATCTTGCATTTTCACTATAAATAAGTAATAACTGTGTAGGGACAGATTTGGGACTTGAATGTTATAAAAATGTACAATATCAACTAGTACTTCAACAATCTGTACAATTTTTAAATATCATTTAAAAATTAGAAATTAATGCAAAGATATCTGAAATAAGAGAGACACTAATAGTCCAAGGGATCAGAAATTATCCAGTAAACTCAAGAAACAAGGAAAAATTAGAACAATTAAATGAATTAAAATAAACCACGAGTTTATTTAATTAAAGCCAGCTATTTCTTCAAAAATACTGTTACTTGAGAAGTTATATATAGGTAGGAAATCTCTGTACTATTATTTCACTCAATTTTTTGGTGAACCTACAAACTGCAAAAATTAAGGTTTTTAACTGTAAAAAAAAAAAAAGGTGTTAGAACTATTCAGCTTTCTCCAAGGTACCTCAAAAACATGGCATTTGTTATGTCTCAATGAATGCAAAACGGATGGCAGTGTAAGCTAAAGCTGTCTGCTATACACAAATGCTAGCTGAATGGGAAAGAGCTTAGCTCTAGATTTGAGTAGAAACAGGCAGCAGTCCTTCAGGGCACAATGCCTGCCTGGGCCGGGCCAAAGGAAAGACGCAATCAATAACAAACTTGTGTCTACTTAAAACCCTCCTACCTCACCTATTTTAAATCAGCATGGTCAGGATCTCAGCACATTGAAACTTACATAAATTAACTGCCAACCAGAAAAAGTATACATAGAAACAGGTAATAGTGAAAATAAGAAAAAATAATAAAAATTTTAAAAATAAGAATTCTACTTCTTTCTAAGAATATTTCTCAAATTGACAAAATATCTTTTAATTCCCTTCAAAACTGCTTTAAAAGTTTAAACTCAATCTACTTCAATCTAGCATTTGAGAAGTTCACATCCTAAATGGGAGTGGCTGGCTCTAATTCCTGAAGATCCAGAGGACAGAACTCAGGCCCACGTCGCGGTGTTCATGTCTCCCAACCAGCATCCATGAATGAGTGTCCAGGGGCCAGCTCCAGCTGGGGCCTCAGGCATGCTGGGCACTGCGGGAGGGAACCGTGAATGCTACGGTGCTATTTATCTCGCTTTTGCTAGCTTTCCCTCCAGTAAATATGTAATTTTTCTGTAAATGGAATGTTGTAAGGCTTCCTTCTTTATTATATTTAGCTCTCATGTCTGATAAGCCACTGTCAAAAATAAGAACAATCTACTCTCTAACCAAGGAAAACATGTAAAGAGAAAGTGTGAGACTGTTCAGTAAACCACCCACCTTGTTCTGAACCGGTGTAGGAAGGAATAGTATATCTTGAATGCCAAGCATGTAAGCTTTGGAAAGCCCAACGTGAAATTATTTCTATTGTAATATTCCTAAGTGTGATCATATAAAGGCTCCTTAATCCTTAATTACATGTTTTATTTAACTATACCATTTTTGTGACTTCAAATATGATGTAATGAAGTAAAAAATAAGCTCAGATTATTAAATATCCCAAGGTAAATACGTATTTAAGTTTTATAAACCTTAAGGGTCACAATGACCCAAAACTTTTGCTTGACTTTTTAAAGAACTGTTCATGTAATTAACAAATAATAAAGCAATAAAAGCATGTCTTCCAATAACTATTTGTCACAATTCAGTAATATAAAGTATTTAATGACTTTAACTTGGACTGCCTTCCGTCTTGGAAACCAAGTACTTTTCAACCTTTCATTTTTGAGGCATACTGGGAATATTTATATATTAATTACTTAAATATTCAACATAATTCCTCGCTAGTGCTTCTTATCATCCACACCATGGAAAGGTTTACTTACTGAAACATCTTTCAGATTTTTCTCAAAGGAGAAATGACAAGACTCTTTAGAAAAGGTAAATTTGTAGGTATCCTCTGGTTCTCCTCCAGACACCAGCGCTTTTTTCAATTCTTCAACATATTTCTCCTTTTCCATGGCCATGTCCTCAGCTTCCTGGGCAATTTCTGTTTCAGAAACTAATAGGAAACAATAGTAAAAGCGCTTAAATCAATATTTTCCAAATAAGAGAAAATATTTATCTGCTATTGGTAGCTGAAGACACATAACAGAAAATCAGAAAAAATACCAACTTGCACATCACATATTTTAAGTCAAATTATATTCCTGAACTAAAATTAACAGATTTTTGGCAAATGTGTTAATTTGTAGTCTCAAATGTCATCTGAAAATCATTAGGCTGCTGGCATTCTTTCTCAGCTCTCATATCAAATGCATGCACTGTAAACTACCCCAGCTGCTATGGTTTTGTGCACCTGCTTATATGTCACAGCCAGGTAAACCATTTTCTGTAACAATCAATAATGTCCACATCTCACAGCACTTATGTACTATCTCAAAAGATTCAGTAAGTCTAGCATCTATTCCTCATTTATCTATGCAGTGTCAAACTAAGTACAAGAACCCATGTGTTAACATCAAAAGATGTGGATGCAGGGAGATGATGAGAAAGCAAGGGGAAGGGAACTCAAATTTACTCACACACTGTACTCCGCAGGTGCCTTTCAACTCTCACCCTATCATCACCATGTTTTACTCATTCATTTATCTTTGGATTTCTTCGTTCCACTTCTTGTCCTACCCTCATTTGAATATTTGAGTGTCTTAAACATATTTAAGATCCTCATGGGGTTTCTTGGCATATTCTGTTTCTTCTATCTCTGAACACACTCTCCTTCTGGTCCTTCTTGTTTCAGGTTTTATAAAGTGTGAGCGTTTTGGGCATAAACAGTCTGGAGTCAAGGACACTCCGCTTTCCACGCTGTCCCGACAGGCTTTCATCAGTTCTAGACATTAGAAAGCTAACTTCTAAATTTGGTGTTTAAAATTGAGGGACAGAGTTCACACACAACAGAAGTTTAGGGATATGATTTGAGGGCATTTTACTTCACACATGTTCTGATTTCATGCAGCACCAAAAGCCAGGGAGTGGTGTTCTTAAGATTATTTCATTATCAGGCTGATTCTTCCAGAATCTTCTCTACAAAGAGAGCTCTCCTCTAACCCCAGAGAAGTCTAGAGTCCTAATACCCCACCCTGGTTCACTCATTACTGTCTCAGTCCCACAAACATTCCTGGAGTCCAGACACACCGCAAGAACCTATGGTTGAACTTCAGTTATTATCAACTACTTTGATTTTCAAATATTTCTTCACACATAACATGTGAACTTTTTCATTTCGTATGTCCAAAGGTGACCAATCTGTGTGTTTATTTGCTTGCTTTAAAACATTTAAGATTTAAAGGTGGGCATACGCAGTGCCTTAACCAATCACATTCCATGTTAGATTGAGATTGCATTTTTATGTGCTTCAAATTCATCTCCTGGCCAAGACACCTGGGAAGCATCAGGGGATGACCCAAGGCCTTAAGTCTCTTCCAGCCACAGGAGAAACCCAGAGTGAGTTTCTAGCTCCTTGCTTTGGCCCGGTTCATGTCTGCTTTCGGGTTCTTACAAGAGAGTCAACCAGCAGCTACAAGATCTCTCCCACTTTGTCTTTGCTTCTTTCATCACAGTCACCTTCAAATACATAAGTTGGTTTTTTTTTTTTTTCGTAATCTTAAAATGACAACTTAATTTAACAGTTTTCTGGAATGTGTGTGATTTCTTTTGCCAACTCAGGCTATTACATTGATGTAAGACCCACGTGGTTCTTCATGTATATTTTTATACTCTTAGGAATCATCTGCCTATTTCATTCATCACTTAAGTACATAATTCATATTTCATGAAAGAGAAAACTGAGGCACCAACGCCAACTAGATAAGCCAAAAAGGTGGAACTCCTGTCTGTCCGGTTCCCAGTTTTAAATTGTGTTGCTGCTGCCTGCACAACATGAGCTGGGGACCACAGCCGTCCTCAGCCGAGCCGCAGCTCAGTGCAGCGGGAGTCGGAACAGCATCCCCTCCTCAACTCACTTCGCTCCTTCAGTGACCGGACCTTTGTTCCACTGAGCTCCTACACAGGATTTCCACATGGATCACAAAATACTTAAGTTTAGGAAAATTATAAATGAATATAATTTTTCATCATCAAATAATAAAATTTGTGTTCAATAATATCTAGATATGAAAATGTTTCTTTCTTCAAACAGCAATTTTTGTAACCCTCATTGATGGTTAACCTATTTTATGACTTAACCCTGTGACAGAACCCCACATAATACTAAAGTGATGACAGACCACATAATAACTGGGCCCCCAAGCATTCATTAGACAGAACATTGCTAGTGGGAAAGAAATCAGTGAGTTTCATGTGTGGGAAGTCAAAAGGAATCACACATCCTTTTAACTTTACTCAAATGAAAAGAGAAAAAAAATTACAAATTGAAGGTTGTAGCAACCAAAATGTTGAACAACAAAGATCCAGGATGAGGTTTAGGAAGGAAGTTCATTTTCATGTTTCAATTATTTAATTGTTTGAATATTCTCACTCATTGTATTGCCCATCAGTAAAGTACCAAGTTACTTTGTATGTAACAAAATTTAAGTAAACATGGAAAGACTCACGGAGGACTGAAAAAGAACACATGAACGTTTTCCAACGTTGCTTTAACCGCACCTGTCCCAGTCCATGCCGACTGACCATCCGTGAGCACGACAACAAATCCAGATCCCACTGTCTCCTCCCAAGTCACTTGCAGAAAGTGAACTATACCAGGTTCAGAGGCAAGATGGATCCGGTTTACCTTTCTCCCCATTACGGGCGACCTATAAAGGGAAAAATAAATATTTTTGTAAGCAACTGCAACCATCAACTAATGACATTTTTGGTACTGACCCCTCAGCTACACAAACACCAGGGAAGTAAGGAAATGACTAAAATAAAAAAAATTGTACAATGCACTCAGACACTGCAGTTTGTTCAACATGATTCAGTTTATACAGATGGGGAAAAAAGAAGAGTTCTATAAATGGCGACTGACTTTCCCAAGTAATGAAATACAATAAAATTTACCATCTCAACAACATGAAGGGTAAAGTTTACCTTTTCTTTTCCCCCAGAGTAAATAGCTTCTGTTTCTACAATGAAAGATATGATCTAGGAAGGATCTCAGAACTGGAATGTGACCAGTTACTGAGGATAAACTTGACCTCAGCCTCTGTCTCCAGACAGATCGAGAGAAATGACGGAGGGAGTAAGCAGAAGTCCTGGAGAAAGGAAATGTCAGAACTCCATGTCGGCAGTAGTACCCAGTCGCGCCCCCTCTAGGAAAGGAGCAGCTAGAACCAGTGGCTCTGTCGGCCAAGCCTGCAGCCCTGTAACAGAGATCAAGGACAAGGACCACTGCACTCTTAAGCCAATAAATTCTAAAACTCATTACTGGGGACCCGTCTATGAGGCACAAATTAAGCCAACAACTGCCACAAGGACATTGTGTGACAGGATGCCCATTTCCAGCCCTGTTGCTCTACTTCTGATCCCATTTCCTGCTAATGTGCCTGAGAAGGCAACAGACAATGCTCCAAGTGCTTGGGTCCCTGCTACCCAGGTGGGAAACCTGGATGAGGTTCCAGGCTCCTGGTTTCATGTTGGCCCAGCCCAAGATGTAGAGTAAACCAACGGATGGAAGAGAACTTCCTGTCTCCCTTTCTATCATTCTGCCTTTCAAATAAGTCAACAAATCTTTTTTATAACAATGAAAGTCCCTGTATTGAAGTGCCACAGAGAGGCATATCAGCAGTGCAACTGAACAGATCCATCCACAGAAGCAATTCCCAGGTAAAGTTAGCAGGACATTCCCACCAGTCAACTCAGTCTCACACTACCTCCCTCCCGGTTCCTGTCAACTAAATACCAACTATCCTATCTAACAGACAACAGACTTTAGAATTTGTTTGCATTTTACATAAATGCGATTGGGCAACACATTCTAATTGTCTGCCTTCTTTTATTCATCACTGTGTTTAACAGACACATTCACACTGTGTCAGACAGCTGACGATCCTTCTCAGGACTGTGATTCCACTGAATGGATACAGTATTATGTATTCACTTGGGTTCTGTCCAGACTTTGAGCATTTCCAGCAATGTCACCATAAGAAGACTCGGGCGTCTACAAGTCAATGTTGGGCATACACCTATGAGTGGAACTGCTGAATCTAAGGATCGAAGTATGTAAACCTTGGAAGTTCACATTCAGTTCTAAAAGGCTGTAGCCATTTCCCATTGGTGTGTGAGAAATTAAATATTTCATATTCTTGGAAATACATTCCATCCTGTCCACGTGCGTGTGTGTGTGTGTGTGTGTGTGGTGATAGGAACATTCCGAGGTTTGCTATGGATACAGAACCCTTTCCATGCTTTTTTTTTAATGAAGTCCTGGGGAAAATTGACAATGTTCTTAATCACCCTTTTTATTTCTAATGCTTTTATTGGTTTGTTCTTTCTTTTCTGATTTGTTCCCTAACAATTTAGATAAGAATCCTTTTATAAACTGAGAACATTCTCCCATTTCCTGAGTTATCTTTTCACTCTCTGATTGGGAATGAAAGACTTCCAGGAAAAGAAGCCCTTAATTTTAACAACGCAGGGGCTAGCAGCTAAAGCCCTTGTCTTGAACGTGCCGGGATCCCATATGGGCACCAGTTCTAATCCCAGCAGCCCCGCTTCCCTTTCAGCTCCCTGCTTGTTGCCTGGAAAGCAGTTGAGGACGACCCAAACCTTTAGGACCCTGCAACTATGCAGGAGACCCAGAAGAGGCTCCTGGCTCCAAGTCAGCTCAGCTCCAGCAATTGTGGCCACTTTGTGAGTGAATCACCAAATGGAAGCTCTTCTCTCTGTCTCTCCTCCTCTCTATATAGCTGCCTTTCCAATAAAAATAAACAAACCTTAAATTTTTTTTTTAACAAGGCAAAACTTACTCAACTTTTCATGCTATTCCCACTACATTTTGAGTCCTGCGTAGGACCTTTTTTCTCACTAGGATGTTCCCCTACATTATCTGGAACTTTTTTTTTTTTGGTCTGTTAGCACAGATTTTTTTTTTAAAGATTTATTTTTTTATTATTTTTTCATTGGAAAGGCGGATATACAGAGAGGAGAGACAGAGAGGAAGATCTTCCATCCGATGATTCACTCCCCAAGTGAGCGCAACGGGCCGATACTATGCCGATCTGAAGCCAGGAGCCTCTTCCGGGTCTCCCACGCAGGTGCAGGGTCCCAAAGCGTTGGGCCGTCCTCGACTGCTTTCCCAGGCCACAGGCAGGGAGCTGGAAGGGAAGCGGGGCTGCCGGGATTAGAACCGGCGCCCATATGGGATCCCGGGCGTGCAAGGCGAGGACCTTTAACCACTTGCGCCACCATGCCGGGCCCTGGAACTTTTAAAATTCAAATTTCTCATACTTTGATATGAAATTCACGATTAATTTTTGTATGCCACATCAGCTAAACGCCGAGATACAGCTTTACCCTGGGGACACTTCATCGGCATGACTTACTCAGGGCAGACCCCCCTTTCCCACCTTTGTCACAGAGCCCGAGGTTGAGTATCTGTGGGTCAGTATCTAGTTTCCTGGGCTAGCCTCATTAGTCAGCTTGTCTGGTCCTACACTGTTGCCACACCACCCCAACTACTATAATGTTTTGTTTTCATAACTGATACTACAATTCTTCTACTTTTGTTCTCTAATATTGCTTCGCTAGTCTTAGTCCTTCATATTTCTGAGTCAATTTTAAAATCTGAATGTCAATGTCTGCCACAGTACCTGTAGGTGTATTAGTAAGATAAATTTTGGAAATCTAACATCTTTCCAATAGGAACAGTGTGGGGTAGGTGTGCCCCTTCACTGTGTGGTCCTTTCCCCCAGGTGATTTCCTTTTAAGAGCAGAAGTCCTATGCTTCTTTTGCTGTTATTATTCTTAGGTACTGGAATGTCAATTCCTAAGTAATCCTAATTAACTCCATTACTCAAATTTCAGATTTACTAAATAAGTTATTGATATTTAGGGCTGACACAACATGTATTTTACACATGCTGAAAGAGAACTCTAACAAAAAGTACTCCCTAATGAAAAACAATGCATATGACAACAGGCATTTGTCTTTTTCAGTTTTGATTCTCTGATCTTGACAGAAAAATCCAAAATGCTGAACAGAAAACAAAGCAGGCTAAGTAAAGGTGACACGTGATCCCTGGAAGACTGCCTTGGTTCCGGAACAATCCTGCTGCACCTGTAAATCACCTTCGAAGGCCCAACTCAACCGATGCTTGAAGCAGTTAATCACCCCCCTTCCACTCCTGTCAGTAAATTCAACAAAAACAAACCTGGCAATGTGAAAATGACAATGAAGCGCACTTCCACATGTCCCAGCAAGTAAATATTATGAAAAAAAAAAACCTAATAAATAGATTTCAAAATTATCTACATCAAGTCAAACTTATTAACCATTTTCATGTCTTCATAAATGTTTCTATTTTCATATTATGTGAAAATATTTACATAAGTCATCATTTATTTGATTCCATTAAAATACAGAAAACATTTCTTTGCCAAAAATAAACAACTAGAAGAAATATACCTATTTTATTATAAAGTGTGTCCTCTTTTTTATTCCACACAAAACACAGCCATGAGAGACTAGAACCATGCAATGTTCTAGGGGAAATTATACAAATGGGAATTTTTAAAACACTAAATGTAGCATATGGTCCATTTGTCAATTCTTTTCATATCTTTATGAAAATATATGTAGTTATATATGTCTTATCAAAGATGAAGAAATTGCTTTATCTTCCACTTAATACATTCTACCATACAGAAAGCCTTTTTGATACGGATATAGACATTCACACCTAGTAGTCTTTAACAACCAAATGAAAATCCATGGAGTGTCATACCATCAAGTATGCATACATGAATTAGTTTTTTAATTTTCACTAGAGTTCTATGAAAGTAGCTACTACCAGCATCCCCATTATATTCTAAAAAAGGAATGGTGAAGGTTAATCACCATGATTACGCATGAATATATATAAGAATACAAATTCACAGCATTTTTGTTGTCACTATGAATTATAGAAGTCTAATACAGCTAAAGATAAAAATCAGGGCTTCACAGGACAAGTTTTGAAAGTTAACAGTTCGGGATGGGGAACTGGCAGTTGCTTACACAATTGTACTAGGTTCAAAATCCACATGGAGGTGGCAATTACAGAAACTCTGAATGCCTCTTCAGTATTTGTAGGTAAGCATACACAAACGACCACAGAGGTTCCTTCCAACATGTCTGCTTTAAGGACCCTGACTATTTTTACTATCAATTTAATTCTGGAAAAACAAGACACAAAATTACTCTAATAGTAAATGAAGTAACTGCGTTTTAAATTTAAACTATATTTGAAACAAGTAATAAATTTCTAACTATACAAATCCATTTAAAATTCAACCATTTGCCTGCCAGTAAGTGCCCCCACTTTCACAATGCAGTGGACTTAACATCGAGAATACTAAGATATTTGGGGATCAGATTCATTTTTAAATATCATTAAATTGTTCATATTTCAAACATTTTCCACTTTTCTGATTAATTCTAGGTCTCCATCACAAAAATTGAATGGTTTCAATTGATTTTTTTGATTAAGCTCCAATTTGAAATTCCGGATGCCATCAGTGACCCATCTCCAACTCTTCGACATGTTAGCACCTCAGAAGTGAGACAGTAAGCTCAGAATACTCAGTGCCTCAACAGGCTCAAAATGTTTGATTT